GGGAGGGGAAAGGGAGAGGGAAAGAGCAGGGAGAAAAGAGAGGGACAGAGACCATGTGTCCCTAACACAGCTTGCAGGCTGGTGTGCAGAACGTCCCTTGGAGAGGACATCAACTGCTGGTTGGTGCTCTGCAACCTGACACTGGAGGCAGAGCAGCAGGCCTAGCCTCACCACAAGCTCGTTCAGGAACTACGTGAGTCCAACTCTGTGTGGCACTCAAAGTATCCATGTTTTCTTTTGCAGGTTTGATTTGTCTAACCAGCTTTGATTTTAGATGCTTCAGTTTCTGGGGGAACAGGATATACTTTGACCCAGGAGTCTTGGATATAGGAAGGTCAGGAATTTTAACGATTGTGTGACAACCATGAGTTGCCATCCCTCCCTCTCTCCCATTCTATTTCACATTTCTAAGAGAATCTCAGCTCATGCTCCTCTTTGCCTTGCTCTCTCAGGTACAAGGCATGGCAGGTGAGCACTCCCAGGGAGCCACACCCTCAGCCCCTCGTAATTTCACATTGTATGACTCCAGGGGTTTAAGTGAGCTATAGGAAACTATAGTTATGAATTCTGAATCTACTTATAAAAATGAAATTCACAGACCAGGTGAGTTAGGACCCAACTACCTAAATACAGTCTGGGAGCTTATTAGAAATGCAGAGTTCCAGGCCCTATTCATCAACTAATGATGAACTTCAGTGTCTAGGAGGAGTCAGAATGCTTCCCACTGTGGAAGCCAAGGCCAGGCAGCCTTGCCTCCTCTGGAACAAACGCGGTGTTCCACAGTCCAAGTTCCATCATAAACCACTAAAACTTGTGTTTGAATTTTAATGGACTAACTCTGAAATGTTCCATCTGCCTCCGTATCTCAAGATATAGGGCATTGTCAGCATAATACAACTTTCTTAGTAATTCCAGGCCAAATTAAGGGTGCAGTGCTAACAAGAAGGTTGCTTACACCACTGTTAGAAAACAATCCACTTACTTTACTTACTTTTATTTACTTATGTATGCATGTATTTATATATTTGTCTTTTTGAGACAGGGTCTCCCTGTAGCCCCCAGCTGGCCTGGAACTATGTAGGCCAGGCTGGCCTCATAGAGGCCTCTGCCTCTGGGGTGCTGGGATTAAGGCGTGTGCACCACATGCGGCTTTTTTTTTTTTTTTCAGACAAGGGATCCCTGTAACCTCAGCTGACCTGGAACTCACTAGATAGACCAGGTGGCCTCAATCTCACAGAGATCCGCCTGCCTCTGCCTCCCAGGTGCTGGATTAAAGGCGGGTGCTGGATTAAAGGCACCAGGACTTCCTGACACTTAATTGTTTAAAAACAGAGAGAGAGGAATGGTAACAGGACAGAGGAAGCCTACTGGATCCTCCTTCCTGAGAACGCACACCCTTTCACTGCGGTAGACAAGGAAGACACAAGGGCAGGAAACCAGGAAACCCAAAGACACCTCTGTGTCTGCTTTCTGGAGCCACAGCAAAGTGGACACATGGCTCCCTCCCGTCAGTCAGTGCCCATCCACCTGTTTTCAAGTCCTCCTTGGTGGTCACGGACACTGAGCTACCAGAAGCCACTGTGCTTTGATGGAGATGAGAAGGAATGGGCTCAGACTGGCTCTCCACTGCATCTTCACCAGACCCAAAACCTTTGCTACAGAAGCAGAGACTTAAAAAAAAAAAAAGTCACAGGACTCTGGGCTGGCTGCTCAGTGGCAGCACACTTACTTACAAGATGATCTCAGGGTCTTTTTCAGAGAGAGATGGTAGTAAAGAGAATTAGAGTGAAAAGTCAGAAACTCAAATGGTTTTTTGTTTTGGTATTTTTTTGGTCTTTTTGAGACAGGGTTTCCCTATAGCCCCAGGTGACCTCAAACTCACAGAGATCCACCTGCCTCTGCCTCCCAAGTGTTGGGATTAAAGGCGTGCACCACCACGCTGGCTAACATACATTTTCTTATTCGCATACTGAATATATGACATAACAATTGGCGGAATCACAAAGATTAACACAAAGGCAAACTTCCTACGTTCAGTGGCAATTATTTAAAAGAAGTCCATAATAAATCTATGAAAAAGAATCGAAGTGCCCTGCTCAAGCTGGGGAAGAATCACCTTTCAAGGCCTGCTCTTCTCCTGGCTCACAGAAAACCCTGACACCAAAGGACTTTACTCCTAACGTCATTCCTGACTTTGAATCTAGATAAAATTAACCATTTGCTTTCTTCTTTTTTTAAGAAACACAGAACAGATGTTCATCTGAGCAATACACACACAGTGTGTGTTTGCTTGTTTTGTTCTGTTTTGTTGATTTTTTTTTTTTTTTTTGGAAAGGGTCTCCCTGTAGCCCCAGCTGTCCTGGAACTTACTATGTAAACCAGGCTGGCCTTGCACTCGCAGAGATCCGCCTGCTTCTGCCTCCTGAGTGGTGGGACTACAGGCATGCGCCACCATGCCCAGTACCATTTGCTTTCTTATGTTTGACATCATTATCTGTTCTATTCAGGAGACTGACAATTACCTAGTATTCATTTTGTGTGTCTGAAAACCCAAATAGGGATCAAGAACCAAACTGGTGGCTAAGTCATCGTTTTCACAGAGTTCCTTGGCGGACATTCCAGAAGACGGCACATAACGACTCTGTCCTTCGAAGCCTGAGTTACTACTGCCTGCAAAAAGAGAAAGAAAAAACTGTAAATCACAATGGAAACTACCTACATCTCCCTTAAAAATCTCATTCAAACTGGTGGTCAAGAACTGAAGTCACTCATTTTTATCCATTAAGAAGTCAGTATTCCTGGTATGAATCAGAAAAACAAATGTAGTTTGTTACTGAGTGTCTGGGTGGCTGACAATATTATTATATGAGGTTTTCCAAGAGCAGGGTCTGGGTAGTTAGCAGCTCTGGTTTACTCCCCTCCAGAACAGCCGAGGCAGCATATAGGGCCACAGACAGGGCTGGGTGAGAAGCAAGCAACAGGCACGTAGATGTATGAGTGGCCAAAAGGGTTTCCAGGAATGATGTTCCACCTCTGACTCTCAGGCAGCCAAGTGGTTGATATCCCCTCTTTCTGGGCAACTAAGGCCCAGAAGTTAAAACTTGCCTCCGATTAGAGAGCGGTGGTAGAAGTGGGCAAGAGGTGGAACGGAAATGAGAGGCTTATTTCTATCCAACTTCTGTGTCAAACAATTCAGTGAGTAGACCAATGACTGAAATGACTGGGTGTCACTGTGGAGAGCAATGTAGAGCTCCATCAGTGCTGATTAAGTCTGGTATGTTACATATACCATTCACAGTCTGTTCCTGGAATTAGCTCACAGAATTTACTTGAGCAGTGCAACTTTAGGCTCTCAAAATTAAGACGTAGGAAAACAGGACACATAGACGGTGGTTCCACCTTTCCATCCACCCTTTCACAAAATGGATATGGGTAGGCCTTTGCCATGGGGTAGGTGCAGTCTATACCACTCTCCCTCCTAACTAACCTAGTCTGTCTCTACAGATTTGCCTTTTCTGAAAACTTCCTATGGTGGAGTTATACCATATGTGACTGGCTTCTTCAGTTAGCACAGTTCATTCAGATTATACCACGTGTCAGTATTTCATCCCTTACAGCTAAGTAGTATTTCATTCTATTCACTCTGTATCTGGAGTGGAAACGCTATGTAAGCTGCCAGACTGGCAAGTGAGCGTTCCACCTCCGCCAGAATGGGAAGAGTTGCATACACCTGCTTGCCAATATTAGCTTCTCTCTCCTCTCCTCTCTCTCCCTCTCTCTCTCTCTCTCTTGAGATGGTCTCCTGTAGCCCCTGTTGGCCTGGAACTCGCTGTATAGACCAGGCTGACCCCTATTCCACAAAGATCTACCTGCTTCTGCCTCTGAGTGCTGGATCAGAGGCATGTACAACCATGCTAGGTGTTTTCCTAGTAGTACTCTTTAAAAACAAAACACAACAACAAAACCAGGGCTGAGGATGCTCTCAGGAGAGTACTTGTTTAGAAGCCCTGAGGTGTGGTCTTTGCAAATGCTTGCAGCCAGACCAACTGATCAAAACTGAGGACTTACTACTTTGACTCTTAATTCTATTCTAGGACTATGTGCCTATGCCAGACCACCACTTGTATTGATGAGTATAGCAATGTAGAACTCCTGAGTTTTCTAACTGCTCCCCAACCTTGTTTGCCTACTCTAGGACCCTTCCACTTCTGTATTTTACGATCTGCCATTTCTTCAAAGAAGCCAGCTGCAACTGTGGCCAGCTGCCATTAACAGTGCTGTTTGCCAGCCAGCCAACAAGCAATAGTATTCCTCCGGTTAGGTATTTAATTTTTTTCAGCGTTTTTTAGTTTCCTGAAATAAGTTTTATACTTTTATAGACTTTTATTGCCTTTTTTTTGATGCCATTATGAGATTTTTGTTTTGTTCACAGTGCTAGGGGCTGAACCTAAGCTTCCAATCCAGTAGGTGAATGCTCTACCACCAAGCCACATCCTCAAATTTTTGGGTTTTTTTTTTTTGAAAAGAACATGTAGCCCAAGCTGGTTTGGAAGTCTTAGCAATCCTGTCTCAGCCTTTAGAATGCTGAGATTAGTCAATGAGATCTTCTTAACTCCCTCTCTTTTTGTTTTCTGACCCAGAATCTTGTTATGTAGCACAGGCTGGCCTCAAACTTGTGACAATCTTACTTCCTTAAGTCTGCCAAGAACGGAGATTATCACCCTGCTCAGGTCTGCATTTCATTTTTGATGAGCTGGTAAGTTTCCTAAACTCACTGCACTCTGCTATTCAGAGGAAGACTCATAATACATTTAATGTGCTTGGTATGAGTGACTCACTCAGTATATTTTGAACACAAAGGCAACCAAGCCTTGGTATTCTGTTTTGCTTCATTTTGTTTGAGACAAGGTCTCACTGTAGTTCAGGATAGCCCCAACTCACAATGTAGCTGAGGATGGCCTTGAATTCCTTATCTTCCTGTCTCTGCCTCCAAGTGCTGGGATTACATGCATGTGTCACCATGAACTTCATTTCTACATGGCTCATTCAAAGATTAACTCTGAGGAGTTAGGGAGATGGCTCAGTGAATAAACTGCCTACTGTACAAGCCTAGGGAGCTGAATTCAGATCTCCAGCATTCATAAAGCCAGGGGTGGTGTTGTATACTTGTAACCCAGCATTGGGAGTGGTGACAGGAGGAGCCCTAGAGCTAATAGTCACCAGTCTTGACAAATCAATGAATAAGATGTCTCAAAAAATAAGATGGGCGCTTGCCCCAAGCCCAACAACCTGAACTTGTTCAACCTGAACTGCAGTCATTTTTGGAGGACTGTTCTATATTTGTAATTGTGATGGTTCATCTTCATTGGTAATTTGATTAGTTAGCTAGAGAATGCCAAGATATTAGTAAAACACAATGGATGATGATCAGATTAGAAGGCTCTTGGGGCTGGAGAGATGGCTCAGCGGTTAAGAACACTGTTCTTGCAGAAGACCCGGGTTCGAATTCCAGCACCCACATGGCAGCTAACAACTGTCCGTGACTCCAGTTCCAGGGGATTCAACAGCCTCTTCTGTCTTCTGTGGGCACTGCATGACATGGGTGCACTTACTAACACGCAGGCAATACATGGATACACATTAAAAAAAAGGCTCTAACGTCATCAATGGATTAATCCACTAATGGATTCAAAATCTAAACAGACTACTGGGATGTGGTACGACTGTGTAAGGTGAGGCCTGATTGGAGGAAGTAAGTCACGGGGGGCATGTCTTGGGGGCTCTATTTGACCCCACCCCTTCCTGACTGCCTTAAGGTGAGCTGCTCTGTTCCATCACATGCTCTCTCCTGTAAGGTTCAGCTTTACTGCAGGCCCATGGCAAGGAAGCCAGCCTACTGTGGACTGAAACTTCTCAAGTTGTGAACCCAAATAAACCCTTTATTCTGTAGTACTTTATTCCTGAGTACTTTGTAACAAGGTCAGACTATCACAGAATTCATGCCACCTGCAACATTTCTTCCTGTTCACTCTGAGCAGTTTATTTTCTTGCTAAAATAAGTATTCTGGCTAGAACCTCTAGAACAAAGCTGAATGTTATTGGTAAAAGAGGATATTCTTGTACTGTTTCTGAATCATAAAGGAAAAGTCATCTTTCATCATTAGATATGATTTTAAAAAATACTTTATTATTTTTATGTGTGTAAGTGTACCTGTGTCATGCAATGCCTGCAGAGGTCAGAAGAGGGCATCGGATGCCCTGCAACTGGAGTTACATATGGTTGTTAGCTACCATGTGGGTACTGGGAATAGAACTTGGGTCCTCTGCAAGAGCAGCCAGTACTCTTAACTACTGACCCCTCTCCAGCCCTTTTAATGGTATGATTACAGTAAGTTGACTTTTTCTTCCTTCCCCACCCTCTATTCTCTTTTTATTTTTTAATGTTTAAAAGATTTATTTATTGCCAGGCGTGGTGGCACATGCCTTTAATCCCAGCACTTGGGAGGCAGAGGCAGGCAGATTTCTGAGTTCAAGGCCAGCCTGGTCTACATAGTGAGTTCCAGGACAGCTGGGGCTACAAGGAGACCCTGTCTCAAAAAAACAAAAAAGACAAAAAAAAATTATTTATTAATTTATTTGTGTGTGTGTGTGTGTGTGTGTGTGTGTGTGCACGTGAGTGGAGGTGCCTGTGTCAGGTTTCCTAGGAACTAGAGCTACAAGTGGTTGCCAGCTATCTAATGTGGTTGCTGGGAACTCAACTTGGGTCCTCTGGAAAAGCAATGTGCTTTTAGCTGTTAGCCATCTCACCATGTAGCCCTGGCTGGCCTGGAACTTGCTATGCAGATGAGACTAGCCTCAAACTCAGAGACCTATCTGCCTCTGCCTCTTGAATGCTGGGATTAAAGATGTGTACCACCATGCCTGGCTTGGTTTCCTTTTTGATTCATCAGTCATTTAAGTGTATGCTGCTTACATTCCATTTATTAGTAAAACGTCATTGATTCTAATTCACTGTATGGCAGGCGGAGAAATCTGAATGACTTCAATACTTTTGAGTCGGTGGAGGCTTGCTGCTTGACCTAGCGCTATCATCTATCCTGGAGAATGTCCCTCCAGACTTGAGGGCAGTGAGTGCTCTGCTGTTGGTGAGTAGAGTGCTGTGATGGAGTCTGACAGGTCTGGTTTACTGGCCGTTTAAATCTCTTCTCACTCTGTTGCTCTGCAGCCTGGCTGTTCAGTCCATCATTGAAAGTGGAGCGCTCAAGTGTCCAGTTTACTGCCGAGTTGGTGTCATCGGTTTTGACTCCAGGTATCGTGGAGCTCTGCTGCCCCCTGATCCAACATGGAGCGCTGCTTTGCGTCCCCTCTCCTCCCCATGCTGGCCCGCTCTGCACCATTCCCCGTACTCAATGTGAGGCTGTCACTTATGCATTCCGTATGTTCAACAATTTAAACAAAAGACTTCTGTGTTATGATGCACAAAAGGAGGCCAACAATCTGTTTAAAAGTTTCAGAAATGCCTAGTTACTGACCACAACCACTACCACTGAGAAGGAAGGGCACTCTGTTTCTCAAGCCTTAGGCTCCCATCACATGCTACAGGTGATTAGGGCTGATGCCTCGGCAGCCTTGGGGAGTGGGTACCTGGGCAGAGGAGAGCCACTCAGGCCCAGGCTCCCTCCTGTTCTTAATCCCAGCCAGGAATTGTGCCTACTTTTCTACAGAAGCAGTGGTCCGATCTGATATGCAAGAGTAAAGACACCCAAGCCCCAGGAACAGCACAAACTCCTAAAGATAAGGAGAAAATGATCCAGGACTCACATATACTTTTGAAACTATAAAAAGCCCCAACACAAACTAAGGCTATTTCACAGTGGCTAGATTTGTTGGGAGATGCAAACAGTGAAAACGGCCCTGTCCTCCTTAGCACGGGCACGCACTTTCAAACAATATTCATGTAAGCTACTTAGGCATATACTTATCCTCAGGCACCGCAGTACGGAGAGGAGTTAGGTACAAAACAGGAACCAAATCTAGTTTCTGGAACCCCCCCCAAACCAGTGGCCTCATCCCCACCAAGAAGTACAGCAGCAGTGAAGCACCTCAGGAGCAGGGCCGCCCTGTGAGGGTGAGCAGTCCCGGCCGAGTCTGTCTCTTCTGTCTCTTCTCCAGGCCGTCCTCTGGAGGGGGCTGCGTAGTAATATGGTCTTACCCCATGAAGCCTTTACACAAGTTACCACAAAGTATTTATTTATACTTACATGCAAGAAATTCAGCGGAAGCATTTTAAAATTCTTATAGAAAACATCAACCTTCCACAAATTCTGGATAAAAAGCATCATTACGATGACAGAAAGCATTAAACTTAAGTTTTAAATTTGCATGATAAGAATAAAAACTCATGGTGCTTGGAATCACAGTGATCTGTGGGGCTGAGGGGGGTGGATCACCTGAATCCAGGAGTTCAAGTCTACCCTGGGCAACATAATGGGACACACCCCCACACCTCACAAAAATGAGAAACAAAAACCAAAAAACAGCTATAATTTTCAGAATGAAAAGCCTCTACCATTAGCTGTGAAAATGCACAGAACTGAGAAAGCCAGAGAGGACAAGGCACATGGAAGAGGGTGAGCACGGTCACGGTGCCATCTAAAGGGACGGTTGAGTGCGTACATACATCTGCTTGGCCGCCTCTCCACGCCAGTCTTCAGGGCGTCCTTGCCCGGGTGCAGGACTTTTGTTTGAGTCTGCGGGTGGTCATTAGACAACTTGCCTCCATTTCTCCTGCCATTCAACACCATGTTCTTGGAGTCTCCCAACCACTTCATGCCCACAGACAGCCTGACCCAGGTGCATTTAGTCACGCTCTTCAAATAGCTTAGAGAATAACTTCAATGTTCTTTCCTAACAGAAACAAAACATGAGAAACAAAACAAAATGGGGAGGTAAATACATGGAAGACCATGCTAAACAGACCATAAAAAAGATACACAGATCAAAATTAATTCACTAATTATGTCTCCCCACTTTTAAAGACTATCTTGGTCCCTTCCACCACATGTCACTCAGGACTAGAGTGACCTCTAAACACCAACCACTTAAGGCAGGCTTTCCTGATCTGTTCTACCCTTATGTGTAAAGCGTTGACTAGCTCCATGGACACTGCCCTTTCAGTTATCAATCACTAAGCAGCATCTTTGGCTGCATTATGCCTGAGTACATACAGCTCATGTTTTGTAACACTCTATGAGCTGTCAGTAAACGACAAGGAAGTTCCCTCCTTAGTCTCTACAAAAGTTTAAAGGCATGTAAGCAGGTCTGTTCACCACAGTCAGGGTGCTCTCTATAGCATAAGAAACTGCCAAACACTGCACCGGACACCCTCAGTTCAACCCCTGGGCCTCACAAGTTGGAAGGAGAGAATGAGTTCTACCAAGTTGTACTCTGACCTCCAAGCTCATGCTGTGGCTTAAGTGCATGCACACAAATACATAAATATAACAAAAAAAAGATGGGCTGGAGAGATGGCTCAGTGGTTAAGAACACTTGCTGCCCTTACAGAGGATCTGGGTTCAGTTCCCAGGACCCACATACATGGCAGCCATTCACATGACAACCATTCACAACTCCTGTGGATCTGATGCCCTCTTCTGCCCTTTGCAGGCACTGCACACATATGCAGGCAAGATGTTCATCCACATACAATAATAAAAATAAAAAATGTTTTTTAAACCCTAAGAAAAAAAAAAGAAACAAGAAAAGAAACCAAGGGTCAGGCCTGGCGGTGCATGTCTTTAACCCCAGCACTGAGGAGGAAGAAGCACAGGCAAAGGTAGAGAGGCAGGTGGTTATCTGTGGGTCAGAGGACAGACTGGTCTACACAGTCAGTTCCAAACCAGCCAGGGCTACAAGTCGCAAAAAACCAAATACACACTAAGCTGACAAACTCTAGAGTTAAACAAGAGTGAGAAATATAAAGAATCCCCAGTTTTTGCTGTCAGTTTGAGGTCACTGTTAAGTGTTGGGCGGACTCAGGAGCGCTCATGGGAAATTGCTTTACTCACAACAGCAAGACAAGTGAGACAAGCACGGACTGGTGACACGCAGGTACCCAGTATCTGAGCTCTAATCAGCTGGATTTCAGGACCGAATGGTTATGGGAGTGGGGGACTGAACTCACAGAAACCCTGCAAATGAGGGTAGAATGGATTATGTTTGCCACTAATGGACCAAGAAAAGAATAAAGGCTGTGATATGACTTCATTAAGGAACTGCAGCTAGTCAGAGTCAGACTGAAAAGGTCCCAAGGTAAGAATGTGCACAACTACAGAAATTCACAACTGAAGGGGGTCTGGGTGCACCAGCACCGCTCCTTCAGTGCACAGGCATGTCAGGCCGGGTGTGGGAGCGCACCCCTTTAATCCAGCATTTAGGAGGCAGAGGCAGAGACAGGTGGATTTCTGTGAGTTCCACGCCAGCTGGGACTATAGAAGACCCTGCCTCAAAAACCCTAAGAAAAGAAAAAAGAAAAAGAGAAAGAGAAAGAGAAAGGAAGAGAAGAGAAGAGAAGAGAAGAGAAGAGAAGAGAAGAGAGAGAAGAGAAGAGAGGAGAAGAGAAGAGAAGAGAGGAGAAGAGAGGAGAGGAGAGGAGAGGAGAGGAGAGGAGAAGAGAGAGAAGAAACGCCCGGAGAGAAAGGGACAACTGGTCGACCCGAAGGATGACAAAATTTGCACTAAGTCCGAAGCGGACAGCTGGTCGACCCGAAGGATGACAAAATTTGCACTAAGTCCGAAGCGGACAGCTGGTCGACCCGAAGGATGACAAAATTTGCACTAAGTCCGAAGCGGACAGCTGGTCGACCCGAAGGATGACAAAATTTGCACTAAGTCCGAAGCGGACAGCTGGTCGACCCGAAGGATGACAAAATTTGCACTAAGTCCGAAGCGGAGAGAGAGAGAGAGAGAGAGAGAGAGAGAGAGAGAGAGAGAGAGAGAGAGAGAGAAGAGAAGAGAAGAGAGGAGAGGAGAGGAGAAGAGAAGAGAGAGAAGAGAGGAGAAGAGAGGAGAAGAGAAGAGAGAGAGAGAAGAGAAGAGAAGGGAGAGAAGAGAGAGAAGAGAAGAGAAGAGAGAGAAGAGAGAGAAGAGAAGAGAAGAGAAGAGAAGGAAGAGAAGAGAGAGAAGAGAGAGAAGAGAAGAGAGAAGAGAGAGAAGAGAGAGAAGAGAAGAGAGAGAAGAGAGGAGAAGAGAGAGAAGAGAAGAGAAGAGAGAAGAGAGAGAAGAGAGAGAAGAGAAGAGAGAGAAGGAAGAGAGAGAAGAGAGAAGGAAGAGAGAGAAGAGAAGAGGAGCGGAGCGGGGAGG